GCCATGCAGGCTAAACAATAATAGGATGTTTCTGAAGGACTCGTTCAACACCCTGTAGTTTGTCTTTTGCTGTCAAAAGCAGCATTACTGCCCTGTGGGTAACCTAGTCTATATAGTATAACAAGTACTGAAATGTTCAGTTCCGTTTCGTATAGTCTAATAAGTCTATAGATGTATTGTTTGATGATAAAATGTCTTAAGTTATAGGATATAGGTTTATTAGCTTTGGAAGTGTGATAGTCCCTATCATGAACGTCGCGAATGTAACTATATCGATTGCATATGTCTGATACAAACATATTGATTGAGCTATAAATTCTACGCTGTCGGTGGCCAACGCTCGAGCCTCAAATTTTTCTATTTTATCTCCTAGTATATGTTCGTGGCCCTTAAAGATAGACAAACATTTCATGTTTATGTGGCGTTCGGAAATATTCCATAAATTGCTACGATTTGGGATTTTGCGATTGAAAACCGAAATGATTTGTGCGATGTCGGGCTATTTGCCAACCGAGCGCGCTGGCCGCTGTTATTTTGACAGAATATGATACCTCTACACTTTTCAGCCGTAATACATAATGCGCGCATTGTAATCATATACATATCGTTTAATTTAGCTTCAAAAACGTGATAAAAAATCAAAAGTGCTGTATTTTGTTAAATGTGCGCAGCATGTTGTTTCGACACTGTCGCTCACACACGGAAACACTGCAAGGCTGCAAATATGTCACACAATCATCCTCATAGACGCTGACTACGCTCGTTTGTTTTAAACCAACCAAAATAGCTTGCTAGTCTAACGCTGCTACGCAAATATTTTCTGTTCGTTAAATTTGTAGTTTAGCTATATTTTCAGGTCTTTCAGTCTCAGTGTCGTGTTGAAAGCTTCGAACACATGTACTTAGGTCTATTTCTAAATAACGGACCACCAGCCGCATGGATTTCGTATATCGCAAGAAAGCAACTAAACGTTTATATCAAAAGCTTTATTTTAAATAATACAGTACTATTTATCGCTTAAACATCCCCTGCACCGCAATAGTACCTACAGATGACTGATTGTTTATATAATGCTGGTTGCGCCGTACGCGCAAGTTTGATTTTTGTTCTGGCGCCTGGCGGATTGAATTGCAAATGATCCAAATGATCCACAAAGCAAATGATCCAAATGATCCTCAAAAAGCCAATGATCCAAATGATCTACAAAAAGCAAATGATCCAAATGATCTACAAAAAGCAAATGATCCAAATGATCTACAAAAAGCAAATGATCCAAATGATCCACAAAAAGCAAATGATCTAAATGATCCACAAAAAGCAATTGATCCAAATAATCCACAAAAAGCAAATGATCCAAATGATCCACAAAAAGGAAATGATCCAAATGATCCACAAAAAGCAAATGATCCAAATGGTCTACAAAAAGCAAATGATCCAAATGATCTACAAAAAGCAAATGATCTAAAATGATCCACAAAAAGCAAATGATCCAAATGATCCACAAAAAGCAAATGATCCACAAAAGCAAATGATCCAAATGCACCAGCCAAAAAGCAAATGATCCGAATGATCTACAAAAAGGAAACGATCCAAATGCGCCAGCCAAAAAGCCTGACGATCCAAAACAAATAGGTAGCTAAAACTAGTATTATTTAAAAAACAAAGAACAAAACGAAATGATATAATTCCATTATCTCCTATTGGTGTGACGTCACTCTTGACTTGTGACGTCACCCGTGACTTGGTATATCGCGCATAAACCAAACATTCGGTATAAACACAGAGTAAGTACATATAGAAGTCCCACTTCCGGTTAATTTGGCGTAAGGGATTTTTCAGTCCGCCATGTTCTTAGCAAGTGCCCTAAAAAGAGGCCGTCATCCCCCTGAAAACATATTGAAATTTAATGTTCCAGGGGAGTGAATGCCTCTCTTTAGGGCACCTGCCAAGAACATGGCCGCCAGATATGCGCAACAGAAACTACCTTACGGTTTTCCCACAGAAGTGAAAACTCTGTATGTAATTTGTGGTATAAAGGTACATATTTTGGGAGTATTGCTCGATCCGGGTGGAATCGATTTGCCGCAGAGCCTGCAGTTCAATTTTTCGCAAATGCTCTGGGTTAATTAGGTCTAAATATGCATAGTTTTCGATTTCATTGACAGGTTTTGTCCACGATGTCGATGGCAGGTGGCTCTTCGCTTAAAGCGGAGCAGGGAAAATTAACAAAACTTACGTCGCAAAATTTTACAAAACACATAAATATCACTTTAAAAGTTCATGCTGGCAACAGTATATAATTAATTATTGGATATGTTTCGTGAACAAGTAGCGATATAATTAATTATTGGATATGAACCGTGAGCTTTTAGCTAAGCTGTTGCCACGCGTGGCGATTAGCTCAGCCACAAGCTCTCGTGTGCAGCAAATCGCCTAAAATCGCACTGCTTAATAGAAGTTCCAGTTTTTGCTTAAGTCGCCTAAAGTCACATTATCTAGCGGCAAGTTCAGGCGAGTTACCACCCTAAAATAGGTCAAATATGAGCAGGCCTGAGAGTAGCAAAATATACCACAGGTAAAACGCACGCATGCATGCAGCTTTTCGAAACAGCGAATTTTATTGGCTCTATTTGCCAATTGCTTTTGCTTTCAAAACAGAGCTTCGTTCTTTAGAAAACTCTTTAAAGAAGGATTCTGCTGCACAGCTAGGCTACTTGCGTACTGACTCAAATATATGTCCGAAATACGTTTTCTGTTTTCTTCGGACGAAAATAAATAGAGGAATTGCCACAGTGGTGTGAGCGGTTACTAAATAGTTGCTAGTTTAAACTTACCAACATCACGGCGACTTGTAGCTGCATGATTTTTCTTTGAAACTTCGCAAATGAACGATTCCGCTCCTTGTTCAATCGATTCTGCAATGTAACAGGGAAGAACGCGTCGGTTTAGAAAACAACACGGTTTGTTAGCTTGGTTACGCGGATACCTGCAGCAGTGATTTTAGTTACAAGTGACCACAACAAACAAAAGCGTGACATGTATTTAGAACAAATAATCAACTTTATTCACAACTTAATGTATAACGAACACAGTTGTAAGAACATTTGCTTATATATATATAGTGTACCTCTGCAACTGCATGGGCTTAATTTTCTCCTATGCAGTTGTCAGATTATAATTTTTCCCAGTCGAATGTACCGCGAATAATGCTTCTATACTTTGACTAAAAGTTCTTCGGCTATTCTGTTTCGTGGTTCCATTATAAACCACAACAGCTGATTTCTTGCTAATCTTAAAAAACACCGATGGCAAATGCAGCTAGCGTATAATGCCCCTTAACTGTCAGTTAAAATGGTTTATGCAACAAAATTTCACACCATTTTTGTGATTGTATTGTAAAGGAAACTCAAAATGATTAATAAGATATTTTGCCAAAGTATCTTAGCTTGTTTCTAATGGCCTGTTTATATGGAAGCCGGGCTGGCCCGCTAAGCGAGGCAGCCTGGTAAGCGAGATCTCGCTGTGTAGTTATTTTTATAGTAAAAATTATCGTGCGTTTATATGGACAAGCGGGCTGGCCCGGTTGCCGAGATCTCGCGTACCGGGATGGAAATTTTTCCATGTAAACACTAACGAGCGGGCTAGCCCGGTCGCCGGGATGAAAGTTGATAGATACGTTGCCTCGCTAGCTTCCATATAAACAGGCCCTTATTTACCTTGAGATATTTAACTTTGATTATAAAAGGATGGTTTAAATATATGACGGATTGTAAGAACTTTCCAGATCATCTAATCTATTCGTCCCGAAAAATGGGCGCCAGCAGGAGTTTGAGCCCGCAAATTCCTGGTGTGCACCCTTTAATATTCCGGCAGCTCGAAATTGGTCTTTTGTAGCTTTTCCTTGAGTTATATGTTTACCCAGAGAGATTACGTAAACCAAAAATTCTAAACCAACCTAATTGTGATCCTTATTAACAACAATCGGCTGCTTCATCGGATGATAATACTGGAACCCAGGCTTCGCGGATAAATCGCGTGGATATTCGTCTCTGGTGACATTATTTACTTCGCAAATTTTTTCCAACTTGTCAAAATTAAAAGATCGACATTTGTTCATCATACATACAATTAGACACTGTGACGTATCCTCTATCCCATGATCCTTTGCAACGACATGGTTGACCAAAGCAGTGTTTGAACCACTAACTGCACCAAATAACAGCGGGACGGATCGGAATGGCGCGAAAGCCTCGTCTAAAAAGGATAGAAATATGTGTTTTACGAATTAGGCTTCAATGAGTACAAAAACTATCTTGAGAACGAGGCTCCGTACGAATTCGAAATTGTAATGTTTTGTATTGACTTAGCACTAAGCCTCGACCTGGTGTCGTTGCAGATCGCAACCATGGATCGTAACTCGGAAGTGGTCTATTGCTATTTTTTATACTAAACTGACTATTTATAGATAGATTTATCAGTTCTAAACCGTTCTCTTAGTAAGGGTGTCCCTGGATCGTTTACACTTCTGATGGATGTAAACGAGTAAATAAGTTATGAATGTTCCGAGTATATGAAACCTAAAATCGCAGCAAAATTTGCAAATGTAAACGTGACTTGATACAGTGTGATACAGTGTGTGTAAAATAAAGGTAATTGACCATTTGCGTAATAGACTAAATTTTGATCTCAACAAAAATTTCATTACAGCTTGAAAGAGCATCACAAAATTAGTAATATTCCAAAGCTTCGTTGCAAAATGTTGTAAAATGCGGAAAATATAGCCTTGCGAAATTTGCAATTTTCAGTCATTTTAGATTACAAACCGGAAATTGACAGCCTCGAAGGGTTTGGGGCTGTCAATTTCCCGTTTGTAATCTAAAATGACTGAAAATTGCAAATTTCGCAAGGCTATATTTTCCGCATTTTACAACATTTTGCAACGAAACTTTGGAATATTACTAATTTTGTGATGCTCCATCAAGCTGTGATGAAATTTTTGTCTAGACTTGCTTAGTTCAAAAATTAGTTTATTACGCAAATGGTCTCTGGCAAATGGTCAATTCAATAAGTTCTTTGTATGTTTGCATGGCGATAAAATATAATAGTTTTGTTTGTGGAAACACCACGTAAATTTATTACTGCAAAGCTTTCGATCCATAAGCCCGGATCTTCATCAGTGCTAATAATATGCGACTTGTTTCAGCTTTAGAGTGCTCTTGTGCGCTTAATATTGAGTGCAGATTTAATTTTTAACACGAATAAAAAATTATGGTCTTATAGCTTTCGACTGACACTTTTTTTGTATCATGTCAAGCAAAACTGACCAAATTGGCAAAAATTTGACTGAAAATTGGCAAACATTTGACTGAAAAATGACTGAAAATTGCCGCTTGAAATCACATATTTCCACCTATGTGCATTATTAAAGCAGTGCAGAACAAAAGGAAAAATAATGTAAGAAAATAATATGTCATGCTAAACAATAAGCTTCAAACAGAAGTGAGCAGATGTGAGGCCTTTTAAATTAAAATTCATGAATTTTGATACAAATGCATGGCATTTACATTCAATAGATTTCCAGTGGCAATTTCTACTCGGTTCGTATTTTTCCATTTTCTCTTATAACGACACAAAAAGGTATCATTGGACAGCTAAAAGCATAAATTTTCTTGCTGTGTAAAAATGCTATCGATAAACTTAATGGCCTGCATAGCCTGCGTAGCACTCTCTTCTCCCGCCCGCACTAAACACCTGCTACGCAGGCTACCCCTTACTGCAAGATTCGAGCCCTGCTTATAAAAGTGAAAGGGTACATGGACTTACTGGAACCCTGTTAACGTTCTCTCTAACGACCTGTCAGCTGAATGTTACCTGAAGAAGACCTTATATCGGAGTTTCTAATAACTCTTACTTTGCAAGTCCAAGTCAAGTCACAAGTCATTTACTCCGAGTTCAAGTCAAATCGCAAGTGAAATTATAAAATAACATGTATATAACGCGTGCTCTAATTGGTCGAAACCTGTGTTTGGATCAGGCTATCCAAACACGGAAATTTAATGTGAAAGTTTTTTTGTGAAATTGAAATTTTAACACGGAAAGTTGTTATTCTAAAAAACAATTACTTTATGGTTTCCGTGTTTGAATGGCCTGATCCAAACACTTGGGAATGTTGCTTGTATATTCTTGAACTCGCATGGTTACGTCATGAATTGTATTGTCATATATTATATGATAATACAATGACGTAACCATGCGAGTCTGCATACATAATGAGCTACACAATATTATCGCAAGATAGCAAAGTCAGGTGAACTTTATGAGCATTTTAAGTGTTTTAAAGCATCTTTAAGTGAATACATGTATTTACTTGGCTATCTATGGGATCACCTTTCTTCATAAAGAAGAATACTATTTTCCAAAATCCTTCTAAAAACTTACAGTTTTTGTCATCTTCGAAACAATATCTCGTAGGAAAGTCAAACGCAGAGTTCTCCAAAGCATACACAAACATTCCTGGACAGTTAATGACAGAAACATAGAGAGCTTTGTAACAACAATCGCCATTGTAGTGGATGCAAACTTTTTTTCTTAACATGCCATCCTCAAGTTTAGGATGATCACCAGAGAGCCAGCCTGGGGCACCTGTACCACATGACGAAGGTGGCGGGCATGATGTGACAAGCTGCAAGAGGAAAAAATTAAAAAACAAACAAAATAGATTCATAAAGAAAACACGATACAAAATAAAAAAAAAGAGCAAGGAAAAGAAGTAAGCTAAACCAGAATTAAATTAACTTTATTTCAACCGGATAGCTGAATAAGTTCTGAGGCAATTGCTTATAATGGTCCAGTGTCACTACAGGAGGAATCCTAAGCTTTGCTTATACTGCATATTGGATTTAAAACTGACATAAATTGAAAGGAGAAACATCAAAATAGATGAACGTCCCGATATCTACTAAACCTAAAAATACGACGTTTAAAACTGACGAACTTTTATATACACCTGAAGTTGTGAAAACTATATCGAGCCACCTTAAGTGAAATTAAAGTCGGAAAGCTCCGTATTGCAGGAAATGGATCCTGCGGTAGCAGATTTAAAATGCTCGTGCACTAAACACTATAAATACTTTCTTCGCTTATTTTTATAGGTTCAAGGCTTATACTAGTCAAACCATCCTATTACCTTCATATACAGAGAGCTTTGAGGGTTGAAAAACGTGTACATTTTGTGTTGATAAAATATGGCAACATCTGATTTGGGAGCGACTGCAGGATCTTCTTTTGACAAAATGTTTCTGGTTGGATCTCTAATCTCTTCTGGTTTCATACACATGTCATAACGACCTGGAATTGAAGGAATTTAAATGACACCAACGAACTTAAAAAGAGAGGTCAGATTTGATGACGCTACCGTATGACGTCATATTTCCGCCAAAATTCAAGTTTTCTATTTGTGATCCTAGTTTGTGTATTTTGTTCAATTCTTAATACAACATTCAACTTTTCACAATTGAACATTCAACTTTTCACACAATTGAACATTCAACTTTTCACACAATTCAACATTCAACTTTTTTACGCAGTTCAACATTCAACTTTTCACAAAATTAAACATTCAACTTTTTACGCAATTCAACATTCAACTTTTTACGCAATTCAACATTCAACTTTTACGTAATTCAACATTCAACTTTTTAGGGGCCATTCACAAAGGATGTCCGAGCCGAGGGGGGTAGGGGGGTTTGGAAAATCAGGACAAACTCGGACATAGGGGGGGAGGGGGGTTTTTAGCAATCCGGATGTCCGAAATTTAAAAAAATTCAAAAACAAATTTCTTTTTCCCTCTATTTTGAGCAGTCCTTCCCATT